GTTCCCTCAGCCTCTCCTCACAAGTCATGTCCCTCAGCCCCTGAACCATTTTTGTTCCCCTCCACTGGACTCTCTCCAATTTCCCCACATCCTTTCTGTAGTGGGAGGGCCAAAACTGGACACAGTACTCCAGAGGTAGTCTCACCACTGCTGAATAGAAGGGAATAATCACTTCCCTTGATCTGCTGGCAACACACCTACCCACTGATGCAGCCCAGGATGCCGTGAGCCTTCTTGGCAACAAGGGCGCATTGCTGGCTCACATTCAGCTTACTGCCCACTGTAACGCCCGGGTCTTTTTCTGCAGAGCTGCTGCCCGGCAGTCACCCCCAGCCTGTCCCAGTGCAGGACTTTGCACTTGTCCTTGTTGAACCTCATAAGATTTCTTTTGGCCTAATCCTCCAATTGGTCTAGGTCACTCTGAATCCTAGCTCTACCCTACTCCCCCACCACCACCCAGCTATCAATTCTCAGTTGCTTTTTTTGAGAGAGATAAAAAGCCTGTATAATCTTAAATTATCATAAACTTGAAGAACATGTGGGGAAGAACCCCAACAAGCTAGAAGTATTTAGTCCTCGTTTCTCCCCAGTCATTACTTTCTCCGAGAGTTTTTTTAGTGGCATCTCTGCTCATTCTGATGCCCTTTATGCTAAAGGATCCCTTCCTCCAAACCTGCCAGTGCACGAGTGATTCTGTGTTCACTACTGACTCAGCACATCTCTATGAACCACACCACCTCAAGCACCAAACTGCAAAGCATTCTGTGTTTTTAAAGTTAGTTCCAGAAAAAGAATTGACAGCATCTATTATTGTTCTAAATGATCAAATTACACCCTTTAACCTTTAATCCTGTATTTAAGAGGAGACAACACATGCAACTGGAGCATAAACTGCTCAACTTCAGCTTGAAGGATCCGTTCTAGTAAAAAAAAAAGTGCAGATACAATTTTGTTGAACCTCTATCTTCATTGCCGGATTAAGGGTGTTTATATATGTGCTCCAGGGGGTAAGAGGGGGAGGAATGGGACACCTTAGTTAGAGCTACGCTGGGAGCCACTAATTAAAGCGCCCGAAGCATCCCGTGCATCAGCATCCCCATGCTTAAAAACAGTGGCGGGGCACTTTAACTAAAGCTTGTCAAACAAGCTTTAGTTAAAGCAACTCCACCACCATTTTTAAGCACGGGGATGCTGATACAGTATAACCTCATAAATCTGGCGCACTGGGGACCGAGCACCTGCTGGAAATTTGAAAATGCTGGATTTTTTAAACCCGCGCAGCAGCCGGTCACAGAGCGGGCGGTGGGGGGGAAGTGGCAGGTAGTCCTACAGCAGTGGCTGCCTGCAGAACAGTGGCATGGGGTGGTGAATGGCGGCGGGAGCCGCCGCATCCAGGAGAGCAGGGTAGAGCGGCGGCCGGTCCCAGAGCCACGGGGAGAAGTGCCAGATTTTTGATAGTTCCAGATTTACGAGGTTATACTGTACATGAGACACTGGAGCATGCTGGAGCACGGTAATTACCACACTCCAGCAGACTCGATTAATCCAGCTCTGATGCACTGTAACTACACAGTATCAGAGCAGCCCTGCTGCTCGTGTACAGGTGCCCTAAGAGATTAAGCAGAGTAATGGAAGAGTGAATACTATAACAAGTCTTACTATCTTCTGGAAAAGGGGAAAGCAAAGTCACAGCTTTGTAGATTTAGATTACAATTCCATGTGGTATCCGAATACCTCACATAATGAGCACAGTACAAAATTCAAAATAAAACCTCCACCCCTCATACCCAGGCTCAAGAATGTAGCTCTTTCTGCACTTCACCGCTTGCCCTCTTCATACGTTCCAGTTACTATGGCCTCCAACACAAACAGCAATCAGAAGAAAATGATACCCAAAAAAAACAGCCCCCACAAAGAAGAAAAAGAGGCAGAGAAAAGATGGAAGTGGGGAAGAAAGCAGTTCCCCCAAATGGAGAGAGAGAAAGATGACACGGGTTAAGCCATTATACCAGAGAGCAAAATTTGCCACCTAGGAATGAGTTTTTGCTCCTGGCTCTCAAACTATAAAAAGGTAATCTCACCCCCAGCAAAAACAAGTTGGGACAGCCCTGCACAGCTGAACAGTTTGCCTTTGACAGTGACCAATAGTGGACACTTCAGGGAAAGGTTTAAAGGACCTACGATGTATTAATTAGGTAACATTCTCTAGTTTCTCCTCCTTTCTGGTCTCTTGACAGCACCATTCCTTACAAGAAAAACAAAGCTACTAAAACAGCCCCTGCTGAAGATTTCCACTAGTTTTTTTACTTTCAACTAGCTCAAATTCAAACCTTTTCTCTTCATTTTCAAAGCCTTTCAAAACTTGGCCCAAATCCTTTATCCACTTATTTCACATACTTCCTCCCATGCACTGAAACCAGGCACAGGGATCACATCTTCTGTGTGTTTTTACAGCTCCTTGGAACCTGATGGGTCTTTACTGGTAGTGAGGGGCACTGCATTAATGAAAATAAGTACTATTAAATTTTTCAAAGATAAATGAACCCAAATGTTAAAAATACACAGCTATCATCACATTCATATACTGGGCTTCAAGTAATCTGCTAGATACCTACTAGGCATATGACTAAAGAGAAGGGGACGCACTGTCTACAACATGGGTGGCCAAAATGCGGCCCACGGGCTGAATGCACCCCACCCACCCATTCTATCCGGCCCGCGGGGCCTCTAAGAAATTTAGAAAATTAATATTTATCTGCCCCTGGCTGCCTGTCACGCGGCTTGCCAAAACTCAGTAAGCAGTCCTCTGCCCAAAATAATTGCCCACCCCTGGTCTAGAGGTAATATCCATGGGAGAAGTGAACACCTCTCCCATGTCACAGTATCAGGGATACCAATGGTCAGCAGAGCACGCTTTCACCTTAAGTGTCAAAAACTTTCAACTCTGAGCTGGGCCTCCCAAAGAAGGTGTGAGGTATCTACAAATAGGTAAAGACTGCTATTAACATGGGTTTTTATTTATATATAATTAGTAAAATCTTAAGAGCAAGCCAAATGAAGGGTATCTGGTGAGAGCATAGGCAGCTGAAGAAGAGTCTCTCTCACCCTACCAATCTATAAATGCACTGGGTGATATTTTTTCCATTTATTAACATGACATATGGGTACCTAGCAAATTAAAGTGTAACACTAATAAAAGTCAATAGCCACAATATATTTTGTGTACACATCCTTTTATCACCATCATCCTCTCTCTTGTATGGTGGTTTTGGGAAGAGAACAGACCAAAGGACACTTTTTAAATAACTGTATTTCAAGCAGCAGTAGAATTCACTTGTTTGCAATTTAAGAGGACAAAGATTAAGCACTCACAAGGTCTGTTGATATAAACCACTCAAACAAAGGATGTAAAACAACATGGTAAAAGGTTGTCTTCACATTTTCTAATATTCCTCAGCTTCTTAAATTAATTTAAGATTGTTTTAATATTTGTATATTAATTTTTTGGAGCAGATTATAGCTGTCTGAGAGAATGTAACTACTCCCGCTACATCCTCCAAACTAATCCAACACGCAGAGTGCTAGAATTGGGCCTTTTGTCCCCAAAGGAAGTACAAGATAACTTGTAACTGGTGCATCCATAATTCTGGTCCAACCTGGAAGCATCAACACAGCCTTTTTTAGAACTACTTTTCTGACTCTCACTAGGATTAAAAAAAGTAAACATAGAAAAATCAAGAGCCATATGCTTTGAAAAAAGAAATCACACTAACTCTCTCTGGTTGTAGCCATCCCTGAATAACCTCTGGCCAAAGAGGAACTACATAAGAACTATGTAACATGAACTCAACAGGCTCCCTGGGAAGCTGCAAGAGGAAACAAAAAAAAAAAAGTTAGCCAAATCTTGCACAATTAACACATACATGAAGTGGTCTGAATTAAGTCCAAGTTCAAATGCTAAGCTGAGTATCCTACAAATTTCACTTTAGAAAAATAAACTAGGTCTGAATGTAATGTGTAAGCAAACATTCCACTAATAACAAGCCACAAAGGTAACCAATACCTTAATGAAATAAGAGATAAGGTTTACATGGTGGTGTTAAACCCTGCAAAATAATGTTCTGAACTGGAACAACCCTACGGAAGATAATGTCAAATAATAAAAACTAAAAATTTTACAAAAGTTTCTGTTCCCTATAACTGCAAAGAAAATTGTTCATATCCAAATATCCAGCGTTACGTTTCAAGAGAAGTACTTCTTAAAAAGCACATGAAGACGCACAAGAATAGCCCCCAACAAAGTGCTGAATAATACAGTAAATATGTGACTCTAGTTAAGGCTTCAATCCGACAGGCACTTGCACACATGCTCACCTTCGCCATTACAAGTAGTTTAATTTAAAATTAGAGAAGCTATTCACAAAGGAAAAATTAAGTATATGCTGAAGATTTTCTGGAGCTTGGCTACAAAATAAGCACAAACTGAAAAACTCAACCTTTTCATCAGGTAAGGCTGTGCTTTCCTATTGCTTGACTCCTGCTGAAAATGTTGAATAATCACCAGTACCTAAATGTAAGCTCAAATAAGTTAAAGGAGGAAAATACCTGTTTGTACAGAGCCTAGTGCAGCAGAGCTCAGGGCCAAGACTAGAGTGCCTCAGCACTGCCACAAAACCAGTCATTTGTCATAGTCCTATTAAGCAGCCTACTGATCCTAGCACAGCACTGTTTGACACTGGACATTTTCTGGTCCTTTAGTCACTGCAGTTTGAAGAAACCTAAGCCAACAGGCTCCCACCACTTGCCTCAAGAGACTTACAATCCATCCCATTGCCTCTCCTACACTATGACTGTACAAACACTTGATCAAATTACAATCTGTAACCAGAAAGCCAGGTGTTCGTCCGTGCACACACGATACCCAAACAGCGTAGTTAACTACATACCTACACATCCTAGCCAGGTCGGGCAGCATGAAGCCTAAGGCCCAGCAGAGTTGTACAGGTACCTAATTGAGCTGCACTTCCTCAGGATGTGCAGAAGTTGTTTTTATGAAACATTGTGCAACATTACTCAGGTAACAATCAACCACCGAGTCCCAGAAATCACGTCATTACATTAAGTTACCTGCGCAATCTGACCTGCCATAAGCCAGATTTCTTTTCTCACCACCCGCTTCAAAAGGAAAGGATAAAATAAAAGAAAGTTTAAAAAAAAAAAACCAAACAAAACACCCTCCACCAAACTGGTCAATACAAGGCTGCGATTTTCATTTGGAGGTTTCTAATCACGGGATAGGCAAGGAACAGAGAAACACCTAGCCCACCTGGTACGATACGGACACATGGTTTCTTTGGCCAATACAGCGGCCCAGTGCTAGTCCCACCGCAACTAGTAAGTGATGTGCTTCTTCTACTAGCCACAGTAGGGTCAGATTAGTAGCACTAGTCCTACCGTGGCTAGTAAGTGAAGTGCTTCTTCTCCTACCAATCATACTAGGGTT